TCGACGACTCTTAATGGGTATACTACATCTTGCATTGTAGATTTCACGAATTTCAAACCATATACATTTACTGTCGTGTCATCATTACGTTTTTCAAATATCGGAATTTCTGAAATGGGGGAAGGGAAGCTTAAGCCTGAAAAATCATACCGATGCTCCTCGTTAAAGTAATTTATATCAACCCTACAACGGTTATTCCCACTAGCGTGTCGTGCTAAAATCGCCCACTTGAAGCAACACTCGTCAATATTTTTCGGGTTGATAACACCCTTTTTTTTAGAGATACTCTCCGGGAGTGGTATATATGATGAGCCACCCATAGGAGTATACTCGTATACGCCCAACAATATACCATCAATCGAAGCTAACGTAAATCCACTTCCTTTCCTCATATACACATCTTCCTCAGCTAATAATATTGCGAAATCATCATCCACTAGGGTACTTATATCGCTATATGAATAAAGCTCTCTTGCTGATGTTTTAAACGATCGATTCTCAGAGGGTAACTCCTTATGTGAATAAGTCGCCTCCAACTTTAAATTATACTTAATCGGTTTAATACAAGTAAAATTATTAAGTTTTCTAATCAATTCAGGTTTTAATGAGTTAAGAAAAGTTTGATATACCATCATATTTTCAACATTACTTCTATAAAACCAAATAGTTGTGCGATTCAGCGAGGAGTCGATTTCATTAAAACCCGGTGTATTACCTAACCCCATACGAGTTTTTTTATGTTTAATATTACATTGGTGAGTATTTTTATTCCTCCGTTTACCCGTAGAACTATGAGTGATAAGATCCTGTGGTGTAGGTGGACTAATCACTTTCGATGTATGTGACGTGGAACCTATTATAAATAATAATAATAATAATATAATATTATTATTCTAATATACTGTAATATAATTAATATTCACCTGATAATGGTTGTCTGATTGTATTACCCATTGCTAAATTATACTCTGCACTATATTTAATAAAACCTATTGAAAAAAATAATATTATTATAGTATTGAAGATGCACCACTAGGTATGTAATAATATTCAATTATAAGAAAATAATCACTATATTAATAAAATATTTAAAATTAATTCAGTAGTATTAATAAATAAGTTATATGAATATGAATAACATTATTTAATCATATATTTTATTATTCGATATCGTTAGTTATTAATTCATTATCTACATTTTTATTATTATAATAATTAGGAAATAAAATCATATTTAATAAAACCTCTCAAAAAAAATAATATTATAGAATCAGAGATATGTAATACTATTAAATTATTAGTCTAAACTAGTGAATAACTTATTAGTGGTAATATTTACTAATTTTACTATATAATTTCATATTAATATATTTTTTATTAAATAACTTACTACTTAGTATAGAAAGATGTTTTATTATTCGTATAGGCTATAAGAAATAATCACTCGAAAGATATATCAATTTATTTGAAAAATATATTAATAAATAAGTTATATGAATATGATTAACATTGTTTAATTATATATTTTATTATTCGATATCATTAGTTATTAATTCATTATCTAAATATTTATTCTAATAACAAATAAAAAATACATACCATGTTTTTTCTTTATATGATCAGATAGATTACTTTGACGGGTGAAATCTTGTTTGCAGTGACAGCATTGAAATTTCATTTGTTCGTGAGATTTTGCATGTCTCAACATATTACACTTAACAGTGAAAACTTTATCACAAACACCACACTTAAACATTTTTACTAATAGGTATAAAACACTGGGTTAAAAATAATAGTAATACTGTTTTCAATAACTTGAAGAACAGAATGACTCCTTTGAGTGAAATCGGCTCTCTTATATATGATTTTTCTTACCCTCCAGCTATAGAACGCGTGATAAATATCTATTTTTCATAATATATCATAACATATTAATATATATAATTAAAATATTAGAAAACTTAGCCTATCATGTGAATATAAAAATAATAATGTACGTACGCGACTATAGGCTGGGCGGGGCCATGCACGTATGTTATAGGATGGGAGGGGTAAGTTCGTGATAGGATGGGAGGGGTAAGGCCATGCACGTTCGTGATGGGATGGGAGGGGCAGGGTCGGGCACGTTCGCGAAAGGATGGGAGGGGGTAAGGCTGTGCACGTGCGTGATAGGAGGGGAGGGGATATGATTAGGTTAGGTTAGGGTAGGTTAGATATGGGTGGGAGGGGAGGGGGGAAGGCCGTGCACGTACGTGATAGGACGGGCGGGGAGGGGGGGATGGTCGCGTACGTACGCGACTATAGGCTGGGCGGGGTAACTGGATTTCCTGGATTTGCGGGGGACCCAGAACCGACCAAAACATACTACTCAATAATTTTACTGTTTACAAACAATTTGAATTTTGAACTTTTTTAGTTTTTTTTTCCAGGAGGTTAATAAAATGTTAATAAAATATTAATTGTAAATAAAATTGTATTTGTTGGGCAAAAAAGCTTGAAAATTCAATACAATTCTCCTGATAGATATTTACAAAATTAGTTAAAAAATATTTAAAATACATATAGGTACGATTTTTGTAATGAGCATTTAAAGTTTAAATTTTAACAAAATTCACATTATTTAAAATATACAAATAATTTTATAATTTAAGATTTTTGAAATATTCAACTTTTGTAAGTTAGGTTTGAAAATTCAAAACAAAGTTAGAAGCAAGTAGGTTATTCTGTTATTAGAAAATCAAAAAAATATTATCACAGATTTTTTATGTTCAAATGTGAACTTAATTAAAGATTCAATTGCCAATAATAATAATTTATGTTATTTTGTTGTAAATTAAAAATATTATTCGTGGGTACTTGAAACTTTCAAAGTATATGATTATATTTTATACCCACAATGAATTTTCAAATGTACTTTTTTTAATGAATTTAATCTACTGTGAGTAGTTCTAATACTTACTAGTAAAATAAATTACTTTAATCACAATAATACCATTGAATATACTAAATCATTAAGTAATATTATAGACTGACAGACCGCCTTAGCTCAGAATCGTTTTTCGTGTACAATGATTTTTTATCGTTGAATTCAAACTTAACACCATCCATGATCCATTATAGTGACCCAATTATAACCTAATGTACAGCAGAGCGACCTCCACATACCAGCTTTTTTTAAATATAATTTTCAATATCTTAACATTTTTAACTTAAG